GTATGTGATGATCCAAGTTACAACTAAAGACCATTCTCAAATAAATTAACTTTTTTTCATTTGTATTTAAAATTGCCATAAAAAATACTATATTATATCTAAGCCCCTTTAAGTCAAGTCATTTCACTCGGCAGCCATTTTTGAAATGGCTTTCAGGCAGTATGCTCAGGCATTCTGTTTGGATGGGGAAACATCAAATTTTCCAAAATTGCTTGCCAGGCTTATGATTAAATTTCATATTAAGAATCACCAATAAAATTAAACAACAACCGTCTCTTTAGTTTAAATTCTAAGAGTTTGAGTCACACAATATCTACAGAAACACCTGTCTGAGCCGCATACCTGAAGAATCGTCAGTCTATTATGATCAATGATTGGCTCCTGTAGTAGAAGGCAGAGCTTTCTTCGCCATATTGACTGTTATGAGTGACTATACAAGTGACTACACAAGTGTCATGTCTTGTCTATTCTCTACACTGAAAAAAGTCTTGCATGCAGAACTGTTGCAAACAATTTGTTTGTGTTTAATTTAAACAAACAAATTAAGTTTAGTAATGTTCAACTTAATTTGTTTGTTTAAATTCAGCCCAAATAAATTGTTTACAACCTCTTAACATAAAGAAATTGAGTAAATCCAAGGAATCATCTTTGAATATTTTTTTTCAGTGTAGTTTTTGATTTTAGTTAAGTCATCAAACATTGTTCATATCATCTTCAGTAACTCCTCAAAATAACAAAACAGTGAACAGTGTGACCCCTCCATAATACTAGTTCATGCATGTATACACATGCCAGCAGTGTAAACATTTTCCTATAGGCTTAATCATAACTGACAGACAACTAATTGTTTACATTTGTTACTTCTACAGTAGATTGCACAAATCAATCCATGCAACAGATGTCAAAGACCCATTACTTTCGCACTAATGGTTACAGGAGCACATCCCCAAACACACATGCTGTACTTATTAGTACGTATGTATTAGTCTCTCTGACTGACAGGATCCATTCGCTGTGTGAAGAGGCTGCTCCTCTGTGGATCTCATGTTTCGGCGGCTATATTTACCACTTTGCCACTGACAGGCTTCTGGAAACTAGTTGTCAATGAGCTATCTCCTTTTAGCGCACGACGAGTTGCAATTCATTAAGACATAATTAGTCAAAGTGTCCTGACAAATCCACTCTGAATAGTTGCTGGACTGAAGAGCAACGGCCAGAGGAAAAGTGTGACATAAAGTTGGGAATGAAATGAAAGTTGGGGATATCTATTCTTTATCCTGTTTGAAAAATATAAGGTTTGAACTTATTTTGGTCATTTTACAATTGCTTTTGTTTGTTTTAGTGTAAGAAAAAATGGTGAGGATGTACTCAAAAAAGGAAGTTTGCTGCTCATTCAATCTACTTATTTAAAATGAACTGACACAACCTAATTCTTGGGTTTAGTGGGGTTAATTGTTTTATGTTAAATCCACTAAGGTTTGTAAAAACTAATAAGTTAAAGTAATTCCTTCATGTTTCCCCAACACAACAGCATGAATAAACATCTTCATTTCATCTCAATGCAAATCAATAACCTGTCTGAATGATTTATACACCAATTTAATGATTCAAAAACCTAAAAATTCTTTATAAATAGGTTTCTTTATGCTTTGTCTAATGAAATTATAGATATATAATTAATATTTTTTTTCTGATCAACCTATTATCATTCTGCTGTGGTGACTTCAGATTAATAAAGGGACTAAGCCGAAAAGAAAATGAATGATCGACCTATAAGGCTTGCAGACTTTATTCTGTTTTACAGTTTTAGGCAAAATATGCAGCTAAATATGCAGCTTTAACAAATATTTTAAAACATTGAAAATAAATTGAATACATTTTTTATGCAAAGCATCATGCACATTTGATCACAGGAAATAAACCGATCATCTAATACATGCATAATTTCTTTATGCCTAAACACTCTGTTTTACAGGTTTAATATGCATACATGCTGTTGTTTTTATAAAGTTAATTGAACAAATATTTTAGAACATTAATATTCATTAAATTAGGTGAATAAAAACATTATGCAAAGGATATGTGATGATAATGATAATCCGAAGTGACTGCTTATTCAAAAGATGCATTTTCCAAATGTTTTGAGGCTTAAAATAAATAATTAAAAGGATAAGAAAGGCTTTCCACATGAAATAAAACTTACACAAATGTGTGTCATATGAAACACACTAGTTCATGTGCAAATGAAGTGAAAATGAAATACAAATTTATATTTATTTTTAGCAACAAAAAAAGAGGTATTGGTTCTGTTTAGAGATTATGATTTATTCACTTCTAAAACAACAACTAGGATTAACAGCCTCTTCAACTGCTAGGTTTATGAATGAGCTCAGTAGGCAGAGAGAAGGCAGTGTTTTTTGTGCTTGAACTATTAGAGCAATCTAATTGAATGCATTAGTCTATATATGGTCAAAAGTGGACAAGCTTAAAACGTTTCACACCCCTTTCACACCTATATTTGGCATTGTGCACTTGTCATCGGAACAATGAAAATGCATCTTAACACCAGGTTCGAATAGGACCTCATACCCATTTTACAATTGCTCATGATGTGATCATCTCAAATATTGCAAAGACAACAATGCTGTCGACATTGATCTTGTCTATCAAAATTTAGCCCTTTTGGGAAATGAGCAAGGGATAATAATTTCTCACAGTTGCGATATCGAGCAACACTGCATCGCCAGCAGTTGAACTGACAAGCACTTGTATGGTTTATTGCTGGATAAACCACATTCTTTAAGACAAACGCAATGATCATCATAATATTAGTTGTACGAAACTGTCGAGCACCAAATTGATGCAAGGTGCAAAAGATCTGCAGAATTACTGTGAAGAGAAAAATCACATCAAGGTTAGTAGTTGGCTAACAATATATAGAAAGTCACACTATACAATTTAGAAACATTCATTAAGCATATATATATATAGCATATGTTATTAATTGTCATTCATACGCCCATACTTTTTAAAGAAAAGGATTACAAAAAAAAATGTAGTGTGTAATTGCACTTTAATTGGCCTATAGTATACAGGATTTGTCTCCGTTCCTCTCTGCTGCTGGTGGATGGACAACAGGCTGCAGGTGGATGCTTTTCAGGCTTCTGATATACCTAAAGAGGTGTGGATGTATCTGTCAGTCATCTCCGCTGGTCTATGTGGTGTAAACACCTAAAGAGCATGTTTGCTTGTAAGGGTGATGAGACTTTGGCACAGACCTGTTCATGAAAGCAGGAAGCACTTACATACAGACACGCTGAAGGTATTGAGAGATCTGTAGATATTTTTTTTTCTTTTGCACATTTGCAAGGTTGTGAAATACCTTCACACACTCAGCTGGTGTTTGTGAGGCACTTTTGTCTTTAACACTCAGGGGTGAAAAATCACACATTAACACCTCTGTCTATCAAAGGCTTTGTTACAACAAGCAGAGAGCAGGCGAGAAGGAAAAATGCAGCTAGTCTAGCTTGATGTATTACTTTTTAATATGCATGTTTAGGATTATCACATTGTCTGATTTTGCTTGCGTCATATTTTATTAGGAAATCTGGTGTATAGACATCAAAGAGGGTGGACAAAAAAGTATATAAAAATATCTAAAACATTTTGATTAATTATTTATATATTTAATATATTTATTTATTCATTCGTAATTTAGTTTTTTTTCTATTAACATTGTGTAAGATAAATAAGATAGATAGATAGATAGATAGATAGATAGATAGATAGATAGATAGATAGATAGATAGATAGATAGATAGATAGATAGATAGATAGATAGATAGATAGATAGATAGATAGATAGATAGATAGATAGATAGATAGATAGATAGATAGATGGAAGGACGGACGGACGGACGGACGGATAGATAGATAGATAGATGGATTGATTGGTAGATAGATAGATAGATAGATAGATAGATAGATAGATAGATAGATAGATGGATGGATGGATGGATGGATGGATGGATGGATGGATGGATGGATGGATGGATGGATGGATGGATGGATAGATAGATAGATAGATAGATAGATAGATAGATAGATAGATAGATAGATAGATAGATAGATAGATAGATAGATAGATAGATAGATAGATAGATAGATAGATAGATAGATAGATAGGTCAGATGGACGGACGGACGGATGGACGGACGGACGAACGGATAGATAGATAGATAGATAGATAGATAGATAGATAGATAGATAGATGGATGGATGGATGGATGGATGGATGGATGGATGGATGGATGGATGGATGGATGGATGGATGGATGGATGGATGGATGGATGGATGGATAGATAGATAGATAGATAGATAGATAGATAGATAGATAGATAGATAGATAGATAGATAGATAGATAGATAGATAGATAGATAGATAGATAGATAGATAGATAGATAGATAGGTCAGATGGATGGACGGACGGATAGATAGATAGATTATTAATCCACATCAGTTTATTGATAATTTCATGTTGTTATGAATTTATTGTTGCACTTTGTTTATTGTGAATTTAGCTGCTTTCCAATGCTTTATATATTTTATTTTGTTGAAATATTAATTATTACTCATAAACACTCAAACCTAGGCAAACACAGACAGACATAAATATTCTAGAGTCAAGGATATTGATAAAATATGACCGTCTGTCAGAAAGCCAAAAAAGAGGAGAGCAGCTGGAAGGACAATGCATTTGTAGGTGCAGCATACAAGCAATGCAGAAAGGAAGGACACAGAGCAAGCAAATCTTTGCAGAAGAGTCTTTCACATACCTTCTCTTTCAGCTCCGCTCCCTTGTCCTCCCCCTTCAGCTGCTCTCCTCCCTCCCTCTCCTCCTCCCCTCCTCCTGCGCTCCGGTGGATGGTGTACTTCTCGCTCTCCCTCTCATTCAGGCTGAGCCGTGGACGCAAGCAGCAGCAGTCTGTGAGAGAGTGCCTATGAGAGGGAGTGTGTGTGTGTGTATGCCAAGCCGGAGCGCAGCTCTGCCGGATCCCTAACTGAAACTCTACCTCTCTCGAAAAAACTCACCGGTCCCAGAACGCATCCCAAAGGAGTACACCTTTACCCCCTCGACTGGTGAAACGGCCCCCCCACATGGAGCCATGTGAACCCCCATCTCCTGCTCCGATTGGGATCTGATTTCAGATTGCCTTCTTGGGGAGAAGCTCCAAGCGCTGGATCTTTTGAAGTAAGGAGAGACTCTGAAGATCCAGGCTATCCCAGAGGGAGGCACTTTGCTCTGGGCACTGTGGGCTACAAGCCCCCTTGGGCTGGAGGCCAGCGCTCCAGCACCATGGATTACCTTGTTGGGATTTTTCTGCTGTTGTGTGGGGTGGCGTTACCTGGAAGAGTTGCACCCCAAGACACCAAAGAGAACGTGCCCAGACTCAAGCTTTCTTACAATGGTAAGTTTTGCAGCCGTACCCATCACCATCGAACACAAGCAGAATCACACTATTTTATTCTCATTTAACACTGCATTTGCCTTCTCATTTCACTGCCTAATTCATTATGCATAAATTTTGGCATGCCTTCTGTCTACTTTGACAGTCCCGTTCAGTTTCCTTGCATTTGATTTATTCTCATTTCGTTCTAACAGATTGTTTCCATGTGTTCAGAGTAGTGATTCTGCATGCATTGGCTCTTCTAGATCATTTTTTCCTCCACAGTGCACTGTCCTATAGCTTTAAACTCTGCATTGGTGCTCTGTCATATGGCTTGTGAACTCTGAACAAGGTATAGTGGGTAATGACTCCGCAGTTGCGGCCAGACGTCTAATTTCTCATGCCTCCAAATTGATTTTACAGCAATCCTTTGCAGTATCCTGGGTTAAATTCAATCAACAGTGTGTTGCTTAGCACAGAACATAATCATTATTGAAGAATAAACCAAGCCTACAGAAAAGCACTCACTACTACAGAAGTAAAAAGGGCACATTTTGGAGGATTTTAAAGCATAAATGGTAGGCTTTATTAAAGCAGCTATTTTGTATATCAAAATAATGCTCCTTTTAAAAATGTATACAACATTTTGACATTCTTTTAAGGAGTATCATGGAAATACATTTATAAAATTAGATGTAACTGTTATACATGCTTAAGATTAGTAAATGTTTGTTTTTTTATTTTTTATTTTTGTGTATTGTTTTCTGGTTGTAAAAGTTTTTATGTTTACAAATTTATTACCATTGTAAATGTCTCACTGTAACCTAAATTTAGGTTTTTTAAAGATAAGAGGAAAAAGTGGAGCAATATTTGCTGTTAATAAACATTAAACTTTTGCATTTGTAAAAATAAAAGTTTTTATTGGCTTTTGTGTTTTAGTGAAGAATATTCAAAGCTTTCTTCATATATTCGCTTTGTAAAATGTCTATCACACTGTTAAAAAAAATGCTTCCTTTAAGAACTGATCACTGATCAAAATAAAAAAGCTCAATTACAAAAAAAAAAAAAAGAACTGGTCACTGAAAGGTTCTTAAGGAACCAAAAATGGTTCATTTGTTTATTAAGTTCCCATTTGAAATCTTTATTTCCAAGCATGTGATTTCAGTTCAGCTTAACTTGTAAATGTCTCACTGTAACCCAGATTTGGGGGTTTCAAAGCGAGGAGGAACAAGTGTAACATTATTTGCTGCTATAAACATTAAACAAATGCATTTGTAAAAATAAAAGTTCTTCTTTAGCATTTATGGTTCAGCGAAGAACCTGAAACATCTATAAATCGTCAAAGCTTTTTTCATATACTTGTTTTGTAAAATGTTTATCACACTGTGAAAAAAATGCTTTCTTTAAGAACTGATCACAAAAATAGTTCCTCTGTTTATAAAGTTCCCATTTGGATCCTTTATTTCCAAGCATGTGTTTTCACTTCAGCTTAACTTAAACTGAAGCTTAAATACTCCTTTGCATGTGCTTGCTTTGTCACAATCTACAGTCTCTACATATTGGCAAGACTACTCACATTGCATCAAGTATGCACACTCATACTCTCGCATATTGTATATTTTGAAGTATCATTCTCTGATACTGTACTCAATACATTGCACTTGGTGATGCTGGCCGCTATGCGTGAATGGTGGTAACACCAAACATGTTATTCTCCGCTCTGTGCTATTTTAAAGGAGACAGCGGAGCGATCCAGACTATAGCAGCCTCTTTGTAACCCAGAGCTTTCATCTCTCGCGGAAATAAGCGGCAACATTTTTGGCATATTTTGGGCTGTTTTCCTTTTTAATGTAAGCTTAGCGGGCTTGCTGTGGTTCTTTGTTCAGGAACATGACCAAAAGTATACGCATCTATGTGTGGCGGTGATCTCTCTCTCCCTCATTTGGTAAATATAGCCTTCTGTTCTGTCAGTGGATCTGTGCCGCTGGTGTGTTGATTGTAAGGTCTGTGTGTGGCATGGGTTTACCCCACCAGGGTCCGTTCAACGCCCTCTCATTTCTTTTATAGAGGCAGAGAATGAAGGAGGAGTGAAATAGACGATTTATTTTGGGCCGAGAATGTGTTGTGATGAGAGAAAGGAAGAGCGAGATAAAGAAAGATTTGATTCAAAAACACTTTATTGACCATATTTCTACTTAATATAAAAGTGACTACAAATTAAAAGACAGGTTAATTTCTATCTGGAAACAACAACAAAGCCATTGATGAACAATAAGACAAATCAAGTCCTTTCTCAACAATTACAAAGAGAAAATGAGTTCTCCTTCAAACACATAACATAGAGCTTTCCTACTTTGATTCATTTCAAAGGTTGATAAATCGTTCAGTTCCCTATACAATTTGAAATCAATTAACACTTCTTTTTCATATTATTTAAAAAGAACACTTTGACAAGGTTTTTTTGCTTAAATGTAAAGCTATTTTTGCTTGTCCTGATATTAAATTGATTAGTTGACACACCTACTTGTTATTGCATATGTTGTGCTAGTTACAGAAAAATAGTAACTAGTTACAGTTACTAGCTACTTTGTTCAAGAAGTAAGTCAATTACATTGGTAATTACTTACACCAAAAAGTAATGCATGTACTGTTGAAAGTTATTTTTGACTTACTTTTCCAAAAAGTCCTTATAACGTCACTTAATTGCAGCATTTAGAATACATTGTTGATCAGCTTTACAGTTTTAATTAATTTGCATTCTCACAAACACAAAGACAAACTTGAATAAAAAGTCATTTTTTAAAAATAATGTATTTAAGTCAAACCAGCAGCACAAAAATAAAAATATCAAAAGTGGTAAACCAGCTGAGTTATATATTCAGAAAACAAAAAAAGTAAAAACTAAAGTTGCTTCAGCATCATGTTGCTGTATTTAACCCTTAAGATGTTCCTTTACAGCTTGAGTATGAAAACTAGCAATAATATTCAACAAACACAAAACCTTTATGAAGTAAATAAATAAATAACTAAATGAAAGTAATCTGAATTATCATTCAGAATCAATTTGGTGCAACTCAACACCAAAAACACTGCTATCTGTTGTTGTATGCAGCTATAAAAATATGTAAAACAATAAAAAAAATAAATAAATCACAATTTTTTTCCGGAGCAATCCACTACATTTAAATGTGTTCTGTTCATTACATTAAACGTGTTCTGAAATATAACAGAAATGTGTTGCTGTGTCTTCTAAACTAATCAATTTTGTTATACAGATAATAAATGTGTGTTTGTTATTTTAAAAGCAAACAAAGTATTAATAGAAATTGATAATAGTAACGTTAATAGTCTCTTGGTCTACCTTGTGTGCATTCAGCGTCTTTTGCGAGCTCACTAGGCCTCTCTCGTGCACACTCTGTCTCTCCAATGCAATCACATGGCAATTCGTAACTTTTTGATTTAATGGCTAATTTTTATAAATTCGTACAATCTAATTCATACAATTTAGTATGATTTGCTCATCACCCAATGATGGTTAGAGGTGGGGTTGGTTGCCACGCCTCCTTTTTAAAATTGTACATTTTCATACGACTGAATTACCCTCTAAACTGACAAAACGTAAAATACTTATGTTTATGTTTCCTGGTAAGATTAGGCTGGTCTCTCGCACACGCGCACACTTGGTGTACCCCCACGCATTCGATCTTAGCTTTCGCTTGACTTTAGTCCAGTCTGGCTCCTCTTACATGACGCATCTTCTTTACGGTGGTTGGCATTGGAGAGGGGTCTGGCCGCAGACTCGGTGCAGATACAACCTGAGCTGCATGCAATGCTTTTGAATGGGTTCACCTAACCTCATCCCTAATCCTACCCATCGCTATGATGTCATTAGCTTGATTGAGTGCATTGTTTCTGACATTGCATCTATGATATATGCAATCTCAGCTTGCATCATAAAGGCTGCATCCAGATACTATTGTGGCATCCCACAATGCGTCGCCGCTGTAAACAGGAAGATGCAAACTAGATTGCAACCAAAATTAATTACTTTACAAAGTAATTGAAAGATGCATCATATTGTAATGGGAACGGAGTTAGTATATTGTACAGTGTGTTACAGTACAATGCGTATTAGTTACTGTCAAAAGTAAAGCTGTTACAGTAACACATTACAAGTAACGTGTTACTGCCCAACACTGCCTAAACACAATATAAGTCATTCAGATTCATTAAAACAGCTAAAGAATTCTACTAAAAAACAAATAAGATGTTTTAATCTATAGCATTGAATAAAGGCATTAAATATTGACTTCCTTTCAAATAAAAAAGAGGCATTTAGCACTTATTTCTGGATTTAAAATAGAAATGAAAGAGTTAATTGCATTAATGCCATGAAAATGTCTCCACTGCATAGAGAGGGTTGAGGGGACTCTGAGCTCTGAGCATCAGCATCTGCTGTTTAACTTTAAGAGGAAAGACTGGAGGCTTTAATATAAAAAATATGCAGGTCCACCTGTAATCAATCACATGCTTCTCTGAGTTAATACTGTTGTGCTTGGATGGCCCAAAGCATTGTGGGAAAACAGTCTCACGCTGCGTCATCAGAATGCTTTCCAAACTTATGCCACCTGTGCACTTTATGGCTGTGTGTCTTTCGCGTGTCGTAATGGATTTGGATTTACTTTGATTGATACATGCGGTTTAAAACATCCATTCAGCATGTCAAAATGGCCCATATTCTGAACAATAGGATGTTTTTCCATTGGTTAAAACTTTTTTTCTTCTGAATCCTGTTGAATTGAGACCTGCTCAAAGGTTTCCAATGATTGCGAAAATGCTGTGTGATGTAGCACAACCACAGCCAATCAGATGATAATGGATGTTTAATGGGCATTTGTGTGGAATGGGGTTTTGGAGCAGTGAGATTTCTATATGGTCTGGGCAGCTACTTAGTGTGACGCCACAGAAATCCGGAACTAATAATCTGACAAAATGCCCTGTCACTCACTGTTAGCTATGGA